TGTCGTTCAGACACGTGCAGCATAAAACGCAACCTTGAACGCAGCTATGAATTTCGCAAACTTGCGAATACGAGGTAAACATCGACGCGGACGCCCGACAGAGACGCGAGGGAGACACGAGCGAATGTCACAAGGGTCGAGAATCGGATCGCAATCCGTGACTCTTTTTCATTTATTCAGGTCACCGCGAGAATATAAAAAACAAAAAAAAAGAAAGGGGAAACGAATTCAACTATGACTTAGACCGAGGACAAAATAATTGGCCGATTCGCATACTTTCTCGATCAGCTTTGTAACCGGTTTCTTCTTATGTCATCTTTGCCGCGAGACGCTCACCTTGTCCGAACTCCCTCGTCATAACCCCCTCTCCCGCTGTTTTCCTTCACCATCCCTATTTATCCCTCCGCACGCAATCATACTTTCTGGGACATACAGTGCAATCTGGCTCTGTCAGACTCCGGCAACTATTGAAGTTACTACCGTGACTTTATTGGAAATCAATATTTTTGGACGCACTTCTTGTCCTGAAGATATAGAAAAGCCTCAGCTACACGGAGGAAATATTGTACCAAAAGTTGCGACAAAATTTCTGTAATCTTGAACCGTACAAAATACGACTGAAATTATATTTCAAAGTTTAAAAGTGTTATGCACGTTTGATCTCTCATTACAAAATTACTGTAATCAGCATGTTTTTTATATCGTGTGTCCGTCGTTATAAATAATCCGGTAGATAAATTTACTATTATTTTAGAATTCCAAAATAAAATATACATTTGGTGAATGCTAATAACATACTAGCAATTTATGCTAGTATAAAATATTTTTCAAACAGAGAAAATATATATCTTCACAAGACACCTTAGCTTTTCATGAATTTCCTTTTTAAAGAAATTTTACTCGATGTTCTATAATATATATAACGTGAATTGTAGATATTGAGTAAAACTTTTCTCAAAAAGTTTTGGAATGTAACCCTAGTGTTTTATGCATACCGAGCGTCTCGTCCTTTTTCATCCTTAGCGAAATACGCGAATGCTGCACGCAAAAAAAGAACTAGTTTCCAGAGCTAAAAAATAGCTGTGGCAGATAAGACGTGTCACTGAAATAGGGACAGCTAATGTCGATACTACCGCTAAATTTATTCGCTGTTTAAACTTAGGCGCTACAGCGAGAAATATTAGCTGCTAGAAACAAATGACTGTAGCAAATGACTGTAGTTGTGCAGCAAATTTCTTTAATATATGCATACGATAAGAAATTTAGGAATAACTGCCATTTTCTTAACTATTTGAAATAGTGTGCATTTTTAATGTCACCTAATATATTTGTATTTCACAGCGAATGCATTTTAGCTGTCATAGCCAATTCTTAACAGTGACAGCTAAACGATTAGTTTTTTTGACTAAGTTTGAATCAGCTACCGCGGTTTAGTTAATATTACTAAGTCATTTTTTGTGTGTGCTGAGCGAATACACGGTTCGCCGTCCTAACGACAGCCGACCGTACCGTACCGTACCTTGGTCGACATAAACGGTCCGGACGAGGCTGTGATTAGCGAGGCAGGTTGACATTCTTCGGCCTTTTTATCCCCGCGACGAGAATTGCACGCGCACGCGTCTACCCGACTTCGTTCCTATTTGTTTTTTCCTTTTCTCAATTCCGAAGAGCGCTCGCCAGGATCTCCGCTGCCGTGAACACAGCACGTGCATGTACCCCTCTACCCGTCTCGTCGTTCTCTACCTACTCCACTACTGCCTCCGCAGCAGCAGCAACAGCCTACGTCCTAGAGTAACCGTGACCTTTGAGCCGCAATAATCGGTCGCTCGTCTTAATGGCCGCTTTGCATGCGCGTTAATGTAACAATCCGCGCGATGAAGGTGCTTCCGCCGCATCCCCCTGTCTTCCCTGCTCTGATCTTCCTCGTCGAGTAGATGTTCGACTGCGTAAACAGAGAGGGATCGCGGAAAAATCGCAGTCTACGAACGGGAGACGTCGTCGCAGCTCTCTCTCTCTCTCTCTCTTTCTCTCTCTCTTTGACGCTCTGACGTTTTACGAGAACACGCGCCAAAAGGGGATACCGGCGATTGCCGCTTGCAATTGCTGCGGCAGGTTTACACGCGGCTCCACGACGAGATCCCGGGAGAAATTTAGCCGATATACAGCCCCAGCAAGGCGAGCGTCAGATGGCGAAGTGGTGATGCAGCCGGAGCCATGTCGAGCCCTCGTTCTCTTCGCGCTTCACCCACGCGATCGAAAATTGCGAGCAGACGGACGAGACAGTCGAATGCGAGGCCGCGTATGGCAATTAGACGGTATGTATACGTACGAGACCTATTATTTGCGATAATACCAGCCCCTCTTCCCTCCAATCCCTCCCTCGCCCTCACCCGCGTCCTGTGACCCAAAATACACGGGTTCGTGACGAGCGTACAACGCGCCGCGAACTCCCGCGAACTGTCGCGTGTGGTGTAGGTGATGCATTTTTTAAACGTAATCGTACGCAATTGCGACCGCCACATTATACTGCTGGCGTATCTCCGCGCAATATTTTCGGCTCGTGCGCTCTTAGCGAGCGCCCACACTGAGAAAAAATATTCAAACCGAAAAAGTTTGAGTAAAAGTACTTAAACCGAGTAAACAATACTCGGCTTACATGAAGAAAATTTCGATCTGAATAAATATGTAATGGTACTAAATATTTGTTAATTTTTAGATATCTTTTTTTCAGTACTCGAAAGTACGAAAGTCGAGGCTCTCTTGCACTGAGAAAAAATACTCGTAAAAATGTATTCGTGGCATAATTTTCATAGAAATAAAAACTTTATACCCCACAAATAAATCTTCAAGTATTTTTTCCCCAGCATATTGTAGTGTCATGATTAAAAAAATGTTTTCTTTCTTTTGTAACGCGGCTACAAGTTGCGCAACAAAGTGCGCATAAATAATAATACTTCCTGATTATAAAACACGTAGTAAATGATTGCAAATTGCATGATAGAGCATAAAACATATAGTGATATCTTGCCCCGACATTAAAGCGCCAAGAACGATCTAGTCGACGAAAAGCTATCTATTTCCACCGAGGACAAAGAGAAGAGATTTGCAGAATTTCATTGTTTATAGTAGCTCATGCTGTCTGCATCCGAGTGAAATATATATTTAGACACGAGAGAGAAACGTAGTGAATGCAGCTTCGGCGAACGAATCTAGCCACCGACAACGTTTCACTTAGAGCCAATCCTGATTACGTAAATGTTCTCTCTCCGTTTAACAACACACGGATAAGGCTATAAAAACAGAGAGAAAAAAGGAAAGAGAGAGACTAAATCGCTAAATCGGTCTCACTCGATTCAGACTGTCGGCGAAACCGGTTTTTAGCGCTCCAACGTCATGTCTTCTGCACTATTATCTTCAATGCTCTCGGCTCAAACCTCTTCGTGCACGCATGAAAGACGCAGCACAAAAAAAAACGAAAAAAAGGCACAAAAAGACGAGTCTTACATCGCTTATCGTTCACGCGTGCTCGCTTAACAGAAACAACGTTACCCGACGATTTTCGCGTCCTTGCAAACAGAGCGCTTTAACGCGAAATATGCCTGCCTGTGCAAATTTATTCGCCGAAGACACGAGATACACACGAAAGTAGTAGCCACGTGCATGCCAAACGGCTAAACGTCGTTCCGTCATGCCGAAAGGCGTCTCATTGAGATCGAGCCGGTTTTGCAAGTAAAAAAGCAAGATATCACCTGTCAACACGCCTGTCAACACTCACCTGCTTTCCAGTGCGTGGCAGCGTTTCCACGTTGGTGCCGCCGACGACCGGCGCCTTTTCCGGTCCGCCGTTCTGCTGGCTGACGTTCACGTTGGCATTCACGTTGTTGGCGTTGTCGGTGACGTTTACGTTCGCCCCGGTGCCGCCGCCGGTGACACCGCCGCCAGCGCCGCCGCACTTCCCATCCTCGCCCGTCATCCTCGCCCCGTCTTCGACTGCTCCGTCGATTCACCACCCTCGTCTCGTCTCACACCCTCGCCGCCTCTGCCGCCGCCGCCGTCGTCGTCGTTCTCGCCTCCCCCGCCCCGATACTTCCGCTCGTTAATTCCCAACCTTCTCGGTCCAGGCTCGGGATCCCGGTATCTGCGCGGTGTCGAACCGATCAGCGAGGAGCGAATGACGGGAGCGCGACCGTAATGACGAATAGAGTTTAACTTTTGTCGCGTGTATCGTAGTTCTTCCCGACCTCGCTTGTCGCGAAAACACGGAGTTCAGCGGATTGTAATTGTTAACGCGAGAAAGGAAGTCTCAGACTTATTAGTTTAGAGCGTCGACTTCGGTGTCGACTTGTATACGAGGTGTTCCTGAGACGCCAGGAAGAGCAGGAAGAGAGCTTTACTCTGGAGGATAGCGAATGCGCTGATATATGCCTTCTCAAAATGTTGAGTCTGGGAGACGTGAATGAATATCCGATCACTCGTCAACTGACGTAAGGAGCCCGCGACAATCTCAAAGCGCAAATAAATAAATATATTATATATATTTTTTAATTTATTTTTAATTTTAAGCGTTTAAGCGTACGTTTAAGGTAAAAGCGTACGGAGGAAGTATGGTAGTAAAAATTACGTTGAAATTATATTTCTTTTTGCAATATTTTTTTAAAGCTATATTGAAAAATTTTAATGTAAATTATAAAAATAATAACTACAGATCTACTTAGTATATGATAGAAAACAAAATATTCAAGTAACTACGATAATTTTTTAATATAAAAAATCTAACATATAATTTCTTCAAACAAATATATAGTAATTTTTATCATAATTTTTTGTATGGTCCAAGTTTACAAAAACTTGGTTGCTATTTTTATCACAATATCTTCTCCGTATATTATTGCCAGGACACGTACATAATCCTGGATATTCTTATTGTTTTTGACTTCAAATACGATTATTTAAACTTTAAAAACAGAATATACGTATATTCAATAAATGTGTATACATTTTTCACGTTGAAAATTGAAATTTCCGTATTTAAAGACCAAAGCAATAAAAATGTCCAGGATTAGGCACGTGTCCGGGAATTAGTACTTTTTACCTTAAGAGTCAGAATCAGAAAGGCATATTTAGCGTTTGCTGTGTCCAGAATACAGCTCCCGATCGAGTCTGTAGCAAGAGAAAAGACCGCCCGAGACGCGAGTCTGGAGACAAGGAAACTGCGAACTCGAGTCACACTTCGCGAATTCCATATCCTCGGAATCCCGTATTTCCCCGACGACGATGAGACAAAGTATCGAGAGCGCGACTGTGGAGTTCCATCAAGCATCCGTGTGGCCGAATTACTCCGGTTGTTCCTCGAGGAACGCTATTTTTAGCGGCCGTCGAAACGATACGGGCGTTATAACCGTACATGACGAAACGATCCGAGAGCAGCACATTGTAAGCGCCGCGCCTCAATCTCTCTCGCTCCCTCTCTCTCTCTTTCTCTCGTTCGCTCGTTTTTTCGCCAAGGAACAAGATCGGCGGCGGTGAAAGATCGATGACGGTCTCACCCACGTTGCAAACGATCCTCCGACGCCGCCAGGCAACACGAAAGCCCGAGGACGCGCCTCACAGGTAGACGTCTCCCGGTGACGTCTCCCGGACATTCGTGTTGTCTGGAACACTCTTCCTCAAAGCACTGCGCACAACGATCGCACAAACTCAAGAAACGCGACGGAGACGAGTGAGAGAACACGACTTCAGTAGGCGAAAACGATGAGCTTTCCGCGGTTTTGGGCGAGAACGCGGAGTCTTAGCGACGAGGCGCAGGGGGATCGCGGACGAGTAAAGGGACGAGCAGTACGAGGAACTGCTGACGATGGGCGCGATCGCGTGCATCCGCGGATATTTACCGGTAGCGAGGAATTAACGGCCGGCCGCGAGTCCCGCGAGGAAATGTACGTACGTGAGCAAGCGTGAGCCCGCTCGACGGTCGACGGCAGAACCACCGGGAAAATCGATCCGAGCGCGTTCGTTCGAGCACTGCGCGCCTCTCGAGCCGCGGCGATAAAAGCAGCCGCGCCGCGCGATCGTCCCGACTCTCTCCCGACGCAACACCCGGCGGCGTCTCGTTAACTCGATCGCGTCCCGCGAAAGGGCGGAATCCTTCCTCAGAATTCGGCGATAGCGCGCAGGTTGTTTTCCGTTTCGCTGTTTTTGTTGTTGTTATTGTTATTGTCGTCGTAGTCGTCGCCGCCTGCGCGTCAACCGCCGCCCCTCCCGTCGCCGCTGTGTTGTGTGTGTGTGTGTGTGTACACACATAGCGCTCGGCGATTTAAATGAGAGAAAGATAGATTGATTGATAGAAAGATAGAATATTTATTTAGACTTGGGGTAAAGAACCCTTGGTGCATTAGTACGTTATTAGTATTTTTGGTTGCCGAAATAGGCATAATTATATAATACAATAATATTGGAAAAGAAAAAATAAATAAATAAAGAGCAATATAAGTTTATATAATACACAGATGCGAGAATTGCCATACCTTGAAAAAAAATGAGGGAGAGAGAGAGAGAGAGTGAGTGAGAGAAAAAGAAAGAGAGAGAAAGGGTGAGAGAGAATTTGAATTAATATAACTCCGGTTAGTGACTTTTCAAAAGGCATATAACGGCCATTGAAAAGCAAAGAGTCGGTAAAGTCGTGAATTTCGAAATTACCGACGACGACACCTGCGCGGTTATCGCGTCTCAAGAATGAACGAGTAGCGGGCTCGACGGGATACGAATGTCAGATGCGGGCATACGGCAGGCTTCGGGTTCGAATATCACTTAGCCGTACGCGACAGACGATCTCATGTATAATCCCGAATACCTTTCGTCTGCGTTCGAAGAAATGCATCGTGTATCGACTTTTCATCTTCTACGTAGTGCAATAATGGTGAGGTTACCGCGAATTACATCGCGCCGATTCGCCGAATCGAACATCGCCTGCACGTAACGGTCACATTTTTACGCTTATCATGGCGTCGGGAGGGATTTTACAAAATGGTCATCGCGCGAGTGCGGGTCGATACGCGCGGCGTGATAAACATCCTACCTTACGAGCAACAGCGCTGAGTGAATCTCTCTCAACGACAGTTCTTCGCGGACGTACTCATCGGCGATCGACCAGATTTCGTCCGTCGACGAAAAAGGGACAGCGAGAGCGCAGGACGCGCGAGAGACAGTGGTGCATCCCCGTGAGTTTCCGCGATTACTAAACCGGGATTCCGTTGGCGTTGTGCGCGCACGCATAGCTAGTGTAGTATGTATACGTATGTATATACATGTACACACGTACAGCAGCGTCGACGGCGCCGGGTCTGTTTCCTCGGCACGGTATATTCTCGCGCGATCGATCTCTCGAAGCCTTTTTCCCGCACTTCGCGGCCGAGTTTGTGCCGTGGTTCGATGACGCCGCGGCGCCTCGAATCCGCACGATTATCGAACGATACGTCGAAACGCTCGCCCTAATGTGCGAAGCGA